TATTCAGCAAAACTAAAGGATCAGCACTCAAACTCTTCGGAACAATAGTAACGTAAAGGCTCTATGTAATTAGTTGATCACCATCCATTAAAAACTTTCTATATAAAAGATACACTATAAAGTTTTACCTCCCTTTCTATATTCTCTACACCCACGTAATACAAACCTGGAAAGGAAAAAAAAGTAAAAGCCTTGTCGAGACTACATTGACCCTTCATGCCCTTTTACTGTGTTTGTTGCATGGTAATATGCATAGGTACAATACAACTTCCTGAACACATGCACCTCACCAACTTGTAGAGCAAATGGAAATGCAGCATCATTCTTCTGGCCGAAATAAAGTGAAAGTTGAACTTGTCTCTGTCTTTGTAATCTGCATTACAATATTTGAAATCCTTATAAGGTGAAGTCGCATAGGAAATAAAATTAAGGATAGAGCTCTCCCTAAACCCTAAACCCTAAACCATGGGAGGAGTGCAAAGGCAAAATTTAATTGCTTTTTCCATTTTATTGAGAATTTTTTTCTATTCAATAATTGGCCCTTCATTCGATTATTTTCTACATGCAGATTGTACATAAGATTAACTGATCAATGCCATCCCATGTCCTAAAGAAAAAAGATTCCATCCTGTGACGAGGAAGTATATGCGGTTATTGTCAGTCCTTATACTAGTGTCCATATCACTAATGCTAAAAAACCAATGTTATATGTTTTGAACTATGTCTCCACCCCTTGGCAAAAAAAAAAAAAAAAAAAATTCAAACTAGCTCTCACTTATGTTCTGTTAGAGGTCATTATATGAATCAAATTAAGAAAAAGATACAATTATATGAGTACTAGCAAACAACTGATCACATGCATGTTATTTATGAGGCAAGCTAAGTAATGGTTTATTATTTTATTTCTCTTGGGAAAAAAAAACAGAAAACAAAAAAAGGGATTCTCTAAGTGAAAATACCAACCTCAGCAGTACGAGAAATTCCAGAGGGAAGAACAGGAGCAAGAGATGTCCAAAGAATGGGATCTACTAAGGGATCGATGGTATTGTAGTTGGTCATAAGTGGCGCAGACAAGAAGGGAGTCAATGGGAATGCATTTCTTTGGACTTGGAGAGACAATCCACTACTCATTCCTAATGCGGCACTAAGTCTCTCATCATGACTTGTGGATTTCTCAACTGCCTTGCCGTAGTCCATCTTGTGGATGGTATTTTTGTTTTCATTCTCATCATTATCAGCATTGTTTTCTTGCTTTTTTGATGCGTTCTCTTGCAAGTTCTTATAGGCAGCTGACCGTGACAAGATGCTCATGGCAGAGACTCTGGCACCTTTATGCTTTTTACTTACACGGGAAATGCCCAAACGGGGAATCTGGTATGGTTCAGTAGGCTGGATTTCCCATTCCAATGTTTTAAGTTCAACTCCAATGTCTCCAACAAAACCATGTTTTGTTTCTTCTGATGATTTTGTGCTAGTGTCAGCTTGACGAGATTTGTTGGTTCCCCACCACTTGATGTAACTTGTTAAATCAAACTTTCTTTCAATGCAAAAAGCTCCCAAAAATTCACTTTCTGTGGCTGGATCATCGCCTGTACCTTTAAGTGGCATAAGACAGATGGAAAGTGGCACTGATTTAGGTAGTAATCCAGATGAAAAGAATATAAATAAATTCAAAAAGCCTGCATCTGCAATTTCTTTGCACAAGATTGAGTATGAAGAAACTGATTTTGCAGCCCACCCAAAAATGGCTTGAATTTAGCATCTCATGAGAACTTACCGTAATGTATGCTATTGAAGTACTCTGATCCACCCATACGACCCAATGATGGTTCCCAACGACTGTTATGTGTACAACAAAAAAACAAGTTAAGAACAGAAAGAAGAAGCACAATATGAATTACTGGCAATGCATACGAGTCGTTCTATGGTGAGGGTGCCATATATGGATCTTCACTGTAGAATTTCACTTAAGTTTAATGAAATGATCTTGTGGCTAATATGAAGGTCCATATATGGCACCCTCACTATAGAATTTCGAGTG